CTTGTTGTAAACAGTACTGAACTCATATATACGTGGCACTTGATGAGTCTCCCTGTGCATCCACCTGAAGTGCCAAAACTCTAGCGTTTAGGCAAATCATCATGCATTCATTCTGCAACGCTCGAACTTTTTGGAATGGAACCAATTCATCTGTCATTTTCACCAGTAATTCATTTTATTGGTTTTCCCTTCAGTGGAGAAGCCAACAGAGAAGGAAACAAAATGTGCACAGTGTAAAGCATTGCAAACTTGCTGTGCTAGTACCGCTTTCCAGGGAATAGTTTGCCAGGAAAGCCACATTGTTGAGGAGGTCAGCCTGGATGGAGACACGGCAGAGACAATGTTGTACCCCCCGAAGAGGATCTCCACAGATGGAATTTTTTGCTTTGTTTTTTTGGCAAGAAAGCATAGAATCATTTATGCTGGGAATCCCACATGTGTCAGACCAGCCAAGTCGCAGAGTGCAAGCCAAGCTGTATACTTCGCTGAGCCGTAGTGACTGACGAAGATTCAAATGCAGAACAAAATGTCTCATTAAACAGGCTGTGCAAACATTTCCTCTCTGACTGGATGTTGAGGAAGACGCCCCTTCCATCCTCCACACAGTTTCTTTTCTGGGTTTTATTCTCCATACAGTTGTGCAGAGCCCTAGGATCTAATAAAGGACACTTGCAAAACTTTGTGCAAAGGTTTCTTTTAGGCAGAGGCAGACCATACATGGATACATATCAGATAACGGGATCATGTTGTAATGAACTCAGAAATATAGTATATTATATTCTGTAGTACTGTATGGAAATATAGAGTACTATATAGTACTCTGTTTTTACAAAATGGCAATAAATGTACTGGACTGAGTACATACAATACACACAAGAACTGAGATGCTCCAACGTTTTTTGTTCAGTGTGTGCATATTTTGTTCAGAACCACCTAACTGACATGCCGGCATCTAGAATATGCATTAGATTTTTTGCCCCAGATTGAATTTTATCTCTGCATGCTTTTTTCAGGCAAGATAGTAGAGACTTCAGAGCTGCTTTCACGCCTGGCTCTGCCATATCCAGCTTCCATTTATTTAGTAGGGCTTGTTTCCTGTCCACGTCCCTACTTCCTGTTCTTTCTGATCATGTGTGTTTTACAGCTGTGCTGGACACTGGATAACAGATTTAGCTCTTGAGAAAATGTTGAGACTAAGGAAGGCAGTGCTTGAGATTGTATATAATGCATAATTAACTTATAGCATTTGCCATCCAGGATGTGGTGATAACCTGAGCCCTTTCAGAAGTTCTGGTGTCATTCTACATGTTCAGTGAATGTTAGGAGAGGAGAGGGGGCAGCCACGCCTCCAACATCCACTATGCTCTCATGAACACACACAGCTTCAGAGGCCCACATATGTAGGCAGAATGCTCTTAAGGTACTCAGGAAGGAAGGAAGGTTCTTCTGAGCCTCAGCTCCAGAACTGCCTGTGAAATCCTGTCCCAGCAGATATGTACCAGGAGCCACCATGACAAGCAGGTCCTCAAGACTCGCCCACTGCCTTGGCCTATGTCTGAGTCAAAACTCAACTGGGACCATGTGCATATGGGGCTACTGGTTTAGGCTGATAATGATTTTCTCTTTTTACTATTGTTAGATTATGTTTTCTGGTTTAAACATTCTGTTGTACACTTTTAAATAAATAAAAAGCAGAAGTAGCTATGCTGACCATAAGTAAAATTTGGAAATCCATGCAATGTAAGAACTTTACTAGGCTACCCCAATAGAACACAAGAATGTTCAGACTTTGAAAACTTGGGATTGCTTAATCAGACAAGATTACAAAGCACAGGTTGAATGTGTGAGAAGGATTAGGTGAAGAAAAGTGGGGGAGCCATCAAATATTGTCTGAATTTGATGGGTTCAGACAATATGATAAGCCAAACACAAGGGCTGAGTGTGTGTTGTCATTGAACTTTGGCTTGTGTTGAAACATAAATGATTGTGTTGTCTGAACCTAGCCAAGATGATAAATCATGATGAACAACATACAGTTCACAACCCAACAAGAAACTATGGGTTCTCTTCATGGGTTCTTTATAGTTATCAAGCCATGATTAGTCATCTCAGCTGGGTTATTGGTAAATAACCTTCACATCCTGCCTTTCTTCCTCTTGGAGCACAAGGCAAGAACTTAAGGTTCTCCTCCTATTTATTCTGTCCTCACAGCAACCCCATGAGGTGATTAGGCTGAGAGTCAATAACTCACCCAAGTCACTCAGTGATCTTCATGGCCAAGTGCAGACCAGAAACCCAGATCTCCTGAGTCCCACTCCAGTGCTCTTAACCACCATACCACACTGAGTTCAGATATGATGGTCCATATTTCAACAACAACTCGCAGTACAGCTGCCATTCACACTCAGTGCATACTTAATGCTTGACTGTAGGCTGTCATACTGCTGCAACATTGCCAGAATAATAAACCACAATGAACTACCCATGATTCACAACCCAACAACAAACTTGTCTGATCCCAGCCTGTGTCTCGACCCCATCTAGCCCAGTTGCATCTCTGACTCTTTTGGACCAAGAGCCACAACCTTACAATATCTGTGGTGCACTTTGCAGGCTCAGTGAAAGACTGTTGCAAAGCTCACATTTCAAGCTACCACTGTATTATTCCTCCTGCTCTGTTTGTGGGGCTACAGCAGTCCCATCTAGTTTATACAACCCTCCACCTTGAAGATGAAAGGCCTCTAAGCAGCTTGAATTAAGAACATAAGAGGAGCCCTGCAAGACGTTCACAAAGCTGCATCTTGTCCAGCATCCTGTTTCCTGCAGTGCCAGCCAGATGTTTTCAAGAAAACTCACAGGCAGAGAATGCAAGTAATGGCTCTTGCCCACGGATGGGAGCAAGGTCTGTGGTTCAGTGGTTGTACACATGCTCTGCATGTGGGTGTCAAGTTCAGCAGTCGGCACCTACAGTTAAGTCTTTCTCATTCTTGCATAAGATACCATGGTGGAATTCTTCCTGATGGGAAGAAACTTCCCATCTAAAGAGGTTTAATGGGTCATTGGTCTTCCTTTTCTCAGGAGGATGATAAAGGCCTTCCTTATTCAGAAGATTTTTATTCCTACCCCTTGGACTGGAAACTATTGTTTTCTATTGGCCAGGAAGAGAGGTGTGTGATCATGCATTTTTATCTGTGTACACAAACTCCTTCCACATAAATCATACCCCATACAGACAATCAGACATACAAAGTCATGAAAGAAACATTTCCATTGATTCTGAAATTCTTGTTTTTAAGTTTCTGACATTTTCCCATGGCCCACACTTTTCTAGCACACACAAAATCACACTAATATTGCCATTTTTTAATTAATGTAACATCCTGCCAAAAAGAATCCAACAAATTTCATAACGTCTTGGTTAGTTTAATTCTCCTGTCAATGTTTAAACCTTTTATTCTAATAGACAAATACAGCTGTAAATATTATATAAATAGACTAGCCCACTTGAAAGCTTTGCTTTTCTGGCCTTGATCATTACACAGTGATGAATTATTTCCCAAACATCCATTTCTAGGGCTAATTTCACGAACAAAACCAAGGGTTTAACTCACTCTGCTCTACAGCGTTACTTCTTCAGTTTTGAATGAGTAGCACTTGCTGGAGCTTTATTCAGCATCTGCCAGAATGACAAGTTTGAAAACTTGCATCCCAGGTTGCTGCTTGTCCCACCTTGTAACTTTATCAGGAGCTGAACCGCCACTTCCTAAACTATGCCCAGCTCAGATAAGCGAGGGAGATAGAGAAGTGTCTGGATCTGAAGCTTTGAGACAGCTCCCTTGGTGACAAGCAGCATACTTCACTCTCCAGTGCCTGTAGCACCAGGACTGGACTTGTAGGTACTATCCATGAAAGGCTGCCCTGTACTTTATATTGTTAAATTGTATTGTTTTATATGATGTTATTTATGTTTGTGAGCCGCCCCGAGGCTTCAGCGAATGGGGTGGCATAGAAGTTCCATAAATAAATAAATAAATACTTATTTACTTACTTACTTACCAGCATGGCCACAGTAATGTGGACCTTTGTGGTGGCTTTATCATCTTCCTGATCCTATCTCCAGTCTTTGTCCTTGATCATGCCCAGACTCTTGCCTTCTCTTGCCTTCAGTCCAGTCCCACTTTGTCTGGTACCTCTTCGTTGTCTTTCTGTCCTTGCCTTGATCCTGACTCTACTTCAGCTTGCTGCTGTCTGACCTCCGTCTGTAGCTGGACTCTCCTCTTCACCTTGCATCACCTTGCTGGTATTTGACCTCAGCTTGCATTTGGAATTTGCCTCTGCCTCTGGCCTCTTTCATCCAGATAAGACCTCTGTTCCTCTCCAGCAGTTCTGAGAACGGTATTCTAGCCACAGATGTCTGCCACCTACATCCTGGTACCATTTTTTTCCTCCAAGACTTTTCCATTAGCACCTTTTAAAATCACATTTGTTTTTCCCAATCCACCATTGGTCTTTGGTTGTGAAGACACTTTTGCTGGTTGGTGTTTCCCCACTTACTGGGTTTAATATCAAAGCACCAGTGATAATAAAGAAAAGATGGTTGTGGACACTGCTGGATATTCAACAGGCATTGAGTCATATGGTGCATGTAAAAACTGTTTCCTCAGGAAGAGTTGCCATGGCAGAATGTTGTTTTTAAGGAAATTATTTCGTGTAAGTAAGGAGATTTCCAACAAACCAGAACATGTATTTAGGGAACTAGCAAGAAGGACATCTAGGAAGTAACTTAGAGAGAAGATAATAGTACATGATCAACAAGGTTTGTAGCATTTCAGAAAGGTGTAGTCCACTGCACGAAGTACAAATATCCTTTGAATGAACCTGGCCATAGATGCACTTGAAATAAAAATTGGTATGTATATTATTCCTTCAAGGTATTTCTCTAATTTCTGTCACTTGCAAAATTTGACAGTGTTACTGTGAACTCTCTCCTCCTCCTCTAGGGTAGAAGATGTTGCTGAAATAGAATCGCCTTCACAGCTGGATGATTTAAAATCCATTATGAATGGGAATGAAGAAGATGAAAAGCTTCAAGTTAAAATACAGGCCTTTGGAGAGAAAATAAATATCGACAGTGGTACTCCTGGCTCTGTACGCAGGTATAGTCTCGGCCAGGTTTCTAAAGAAGAAAGGAAGGACATGAGGTTTAGCAGGTATGCTTCAATGAAACCCGGCCTATGCCGTCACATGCTGATCAGTTTTTGTAGAAAGAATTACAAAAACATTGAAATGAACAGCCAAGTTACATAGTACTTGTGGGCATCAGATGGCTAATTATATCCAGACACCTTGTCAGTTACTTGGAGAGCTGGATAAGATCTGTATGAGCTGTTTGTATAATCTATCCAACACCCCAGGGTGCTAGGGGCACAGGGGAGCTACAGAAGAAACACTGATCTAGATGTGAAAAAATTCTGAAATGAAGATTAGTTTCTCTAACATTATTAGCAATTCTTTTGTCAATTAGCCCATTCTTAAAGCAATTTTATCAGCATTGACATAGAAAAGAATAAAAATCCTTTCCCCCTCCTCTCAAAAATGGTTCATTTGCCATGTCAAAGCATTAAGAAAGGGGTATGGAATCAGATACATATAATCAAATATGATGGGCATGTTGAACATATGAATCAACTGATTAGTTAGAATTAACCCAGTATCATATTTTATTATCATTTTGAAATGATATGTGTGTGGTGTAGTGGTTAAGAGTGACAGATGGGTACTCAGCCGGTCTAGGTTCTACTTTGCCCTCAGCTATGAAGCTCATGGGGTGACTTTCGACCAGTCATTGCCTCTCAGCCTAAGCTACCTCACAGGGGTATTGTGTTGAGAATAAAATGGGGAGGATGAGAACTTTGTAAAGCCACCTTGGATTCCCTGCAAGGGGAAGAAAGCTGGGATATAAATGCTATGTAATGATAATGATAGTAGCACAGTCAATATTGAAAAACAGTTTAAACTCCTCAGTGAAAACAACCAAAACATTAAAGATACGAAATGAACAAACTGCACCACAGAAGTGGTCATGACAGTAATGGAGGGTTGCTTTTTTGAACTAAGAGCTTTAAGCATACAAGAAAACAAGCCACTATTTGATCTTCCAGTGGGTAGATTCCTTTAAAAGATTTCTCATGGGCAAATAATTTCTTAACTAAGGCATTTTCCTTGGTCTTTCCAGTCCAGATGGGGAGGATGAGTACCTGGGACCAGCAAAAATGCCACCCATGATCCTTGGCCTGGACTTCCTTATGAAGCACCTGAGCCTTATTATGTTGCTAAAGGAACCCTCCCAGCAGTGGACTCATGCTAGTTTGTTGCTAACATCAGGATGGGTTACAAGTGGGAGGGGGATCTCTCTTCTAAAGGTAAGGCTAGATGCTTCACACAGGACCAGGAACATGTGGAGCAGCCTCGCTAACTAAGGAAAGCATAGGTAAATTTAAGAGCATAAGAAAAGCCATACTGGATTAGACCAATGTTCCATCCAGTCCAGCATCCATTCACATGGTGGCAAACCAGCTGTCTACATGATTTCTCAGGCAGGATGGGTTCAAGAGTTGCACTGCACAAGTTCCTCAGCAGCTGGTGTTGGTTGACATGCTGCCTCTAATCACGGAGGTAGTGTACAGCTATCTAAGTTAGTAGTCATTTTCATCATCTCATCTTCCATGAGTTTATCATGAAGGGCAAGGGGTAAGTAAGCTCAATTTAGTTTGAGCATCTCATTTAAGGCAAAAACCCTACCAGAAGTTTCTGAATTTCATACTAAGGGCTTCTGGTTAAGAATTAGATACAATTTCTGACATAGGGGTTAAGTTCATTTATATAAGGAAAGGGGAATAAAAAGAACCAGAGCAGTCTTTTGAAATGGTACTTCAGGCAGAAAAGAACCATGTGTACTTAAAGATGCCTAAATATCAGTTCTTACACAGAAGAGGGCCCAAATGTTAAAGCTCAAAGTCTCAAACCAGAAATAAGATGAAGGCAAAAGTTGGCTACAGCCCCACTGCTTTATGTTCAGGCCCCTGACAACTCCAAGGAGATCTGTGTTAGGCAATCATAGGCAGGCTGTTACAGGATTTCCAAATCATTAATGGAGGGCAGCTGTCCCACAGGAATGCAGCTAAAAACATTTGGTCCAATTAACTGAGACCTTGGAGTTAGAGATTATCTTGAGCTACCTGGCTAAATGGATCCTTGCAGGGAGGCCACAAAAGAAAACGATAATACCTTCATGTACCTTGGAACATTGGCAACATTCTAGGTTCAGACTAAATTTTATTTATTTATTTATTTATTTATTTATTTATTTATTTATTTATTTATTTATGGATTTATATCCTGCCTTTTTCCTCAAAGGACTCAAGGCAGCTTACATCATTCTCCTCCTCCATCTTATCCCCACAACAACAACTGTGCGAGGTAGGTTGGGCTGAGAGTCTGTGACTGGCCCAAAGTCACCCAGTTGGCTCCATGGCTGAGTGGGGACTAGAACCCAGGTTGTCTGAGTCCCAGTTCCATGCTCTTAACCACTACACCACACTGGCTCTTAATTTGCCAGCAGTTGCTGCCATAGGCTTTCAGCAGGCAGAAAACCCTTAACTTTTGAACCACTGAAAGGCACACCTTAACAATCCTGAATAATGGTTATCAATATTTGTCATCGGTCTTTGAAAGAAATATGATATGCCAGGCTTCGGCTTGAAGTAGATACTATTTAACTTGCTGTATCTGTCTATTGGGTCAGCTGGACATATGGCACAATTGTAGACTTCAACATGTCTGAGTTATTAGCTTAACTGGTATCATTTTTGTAACTAGTGGGATATTGAAGCTTAAAGCAGTGGAAGCTTTTGTTTTCTTTTGTTTTGCCATACGAAGATCATATCATGGGTCAGTGGGCATAAACTGCGAGCAAGAACAGGTATGTTCTAGGAGGGCTATCCTGGATGACCTGGGCTACCTGAGAAGAAGGCTTTTCCTTTTATCTGTCTTCCTTCTCCCTAATCCACATCTCTCCAGGTATTTGCACGTCTGTTCCTGCTTCTACTCCCTCTGTCTTGTAAATGTTGCATGCTCCCTTTGCAGCAAAAAAGGGGCCCCTTTTACTATGGCATGCACAGAAGCTTCACAGCTGTCATTGAGGACCAAGCTAGTTGTGCAGGGCAACCCCATGTACATGTTTGCCCCATTCTTGTGTAAAGCAGGCCTGGTGCTCTAGCTGTTGCACCGAAAGGAGCACAAAAGAAAGGTGGTGAAATCTGGACTTCTCGCCCATCCTAGAATGCCACACTCTTGCTGCCTGTCTTTGCTGTAATACAGCAAGTATGCTGGACAGAGGGGAAACTGATTAAAGCCATGGAGTTCAGAATAATGAGAGAGCAGGAAGAATTTCCCTCCCATCTCTGGTTCACTCCTTTTGATTCACTGATCAAGATCACTTTGGGAGGAGTTGGAGGCTCTCAACTCCCCCACCACCACCTTAGTAATCCTGAAGAAGGGGGATATGGGGAAGTGAGTATCTGAAGATGGCTCTCCTGTTATGCCCTCTTCTCCAGCAGTTACATTTGTGACAGCCCCCAAATGGTTTGGGCTTTGATAGAACCATGTGGGATGTGCAACTGAAGGGACCATGGCGCTCATGGCAGATGACCTTGGAGGCCTCTGAGTAGAAGCTCAAAGTCTACATGTGGCCCACAATCTGCAACTGGTCCATACAGGGAGTAAAGAGAAAAGCCATCCCATCTTCCCTTTAAATGGACTGACACATCTTTAACATGCACCCAGATATTCTAACTAGTTTTGTGCTGAGACTCTCCTCTGGCCCTCTGATTGGATGCCACATATGTTGTAGTCTGTGTTGGCGGTGCCCAGGCAGCTTGTCCATACCTTTGTTTGCTCTGCAGGTCCAAAAGTCTAGCTCTGCATGCTGTTCGTATGAAGGACATTCATTTGGACAATGGACAAGAGATGGACAATGGAGATGTTACAGCCGGTATCTCTTTCACAGATATCTATCTGAGCCAAGAAGCTGACAAATTGCCTTCCAGCACAGGCACTGAAGAGTCACAGCTGGAACAATCTTCACTTTCACACCCAAGTATCAAATGTACAGAACCAGAGAATCTGCCAGAACCTTTTATAGAAAGCTGCCATGAAGGGAGCCTGAAGACAATAAAGAATCCTGTGGAGTATCAAGATAAGCTATACTTTCACTTAAAGGAAAATCTCTCCAAAGTGAAAGCATATGTCATGGAGATGGGGAAGAAAATTCCTCTCCCAGATGAATGTGTTATAGAAGGTAAGAGGCCTGAAATTTTTAAAAGCATGGGAATATTTTAAAAGATACTTTAAGAGTCACCTCTTAGCTGTCATCCAAACTGCTCTAAATAGTTTTACATAACAGCACTATTAAAGGGCATTAAGATTCCTGGTTGCCATTGTGTTGTTCTGCTTGGGTCATGCGCTTTATGCCTTAGAAGGTCCATCAGCATGCAGTTACTGTGTCCTCCCACTAACATCCCGGTGTGTTCTCAGTGTGCAGAGGGGCTCTACTTCTAGGATCCTTTCCCTGTGCTTTGTGCCAGTTCTGTGCATTAAGCTGCAGCTGGCGATGGGCACCTCCTTTCCTGAATGGATGTGTTATAGAAAAGTGGAAGGCTTCATGTAAGAGGAATCATTCTACTGTTGCCTCGGGTCAAACAGCTTTTGCAGGTTTCTATATTGTTTCCAGAACCTACTTGTGCTGTTTGACTAGGGGATATAAGAATATGCTCATAGTGTGTGCAGCACAAGAAGCAAAGGCTGCCGCGAGTCACTTCCTGCTTCCTTAAAAACGACTGTCTTTCTCCAGCTTTACAGCAAAATTATATAACTGTTGTTTTTAAAAGTCCATTTATCTGCCAGCACATCCATCAATATAGCTCTTACATATTTCTTGTTAAAAGTATATTAATATATATATTTCTCTCTGCAGTGTGCTGATGTCAAGGTGTTGTGGGGAGTACATAGACCCCAGTTCTGATTCTTTTGGTAATATGGATAGCCCAGTTTAGGAACTATGGATTTGAAATAACCCAGATGGGACCGATCAGGGTATGGACCTATTCTCCCAAATAGAGCTGTTTCGTAGATCAGGTTGCCAGTTTGGTATAACTTTCATATTCTGGTGGGGGACATGCACAATGTTCTAGAAGACACGACATGGTCATAGTCACAGATGCACTGACTCTCTTCCTGCAGTTTTAGGTCAGCAAATAAGGGAGTCATTTCATCATGGACTAGCACCCCCAGCCCATAGAATGCTACATCCATAGAGATCTGACTCAGGTGTGGCCCTGACAAAATGTTGGGTTTCTCCACAGGTGAACAAGTAGCCAGCCTCTGTGCACCTCTAAGTATTATATTGATTTTGCCAGCTACCTGGCAGGCAGCAACAAATACATCGCCAATTAAACAGTTCCATAAAATATATACATTTTCAGATATGAACATGGCTTGGGAGAATTTGCCCATAGCTTTCTAGAATAATTATATTTTTGAAGAATTAAGAGTTAGGTAATAGAAATATTTTATTAGATAATTTAATTTCAATTAAATCCACTTAAATGTGCAATGCAAAAATCTTTAGACTTAATATAATTATTATCATCCTAAGCATTCATTTGATTGAACACAGGGAAAGGGAAAGGATCCCAGATATGAGCATGTGCGTTACAGTTAATGGGTCTTCAGTCAGACAAGAGCTTCTTCTGTACCTGTGCAGATCCCTCTCTTGGAGGAAGCACTTTCAGCTAGTTTCAGAGAAACATTTATGGAATTACTTCCTGTGTAGACATTTCTAACCCACCCCGTGCTCTTTATTCAGCACTTTTTACCTACTGTAGTAAGTAGCAGCAGCAAAGTATATACCAGGGCCATTTTCCTCCACGAGTTCTCTGGGAAAGACATCCAGGGGCAATATCTGCAGGTGGGGAGATGAGGGATGGCTGCACACTGGGAGCCAATGAGAATGACACTGGGTGCAAATATACACTTGAATGTGTGGTACCGGTAGTACCACATGGAACAAGCCAGGTGAAACACATGAGTAGATCCATGCATCATATCGCTGTTCATAAGGGAATCGGGTCTAAATAACCATGCAGTCCAGCAAGGCTGCCTGTAATCCTCTTAATTCAGATGACAGTTTTGGCCTTCTGAATGTTCTTCCCCTTCTTGCAAGGAGGAGAGGCTGAGGCACCTTTGGGATTCCACAGAGGATGGCAGTGTCTTAGGCCTCCCCTCTCTGCACCTTGGAGCTCTCCATCAGATCCTGTTCAGAAGATCTTCCAGGCTGCCCCCATTCAATGTCAGGAGGTTATAGACTGCGCCCTGAAATGGCTGCTGTGCTAGTCTCTGCCATTGTTTGCAAAACCTAAAATTATTACTGCAGTTTCTGGAACATTCCTTAACTATAATTCTTGAGACAAAATTCCTGGAATAAGGGCACATTGTAAACCATCCCAAGACACCAGTAGATGGACGGTCTATAAAAGCCTTCAATAAATAAGATGAATGTTACTCCTCCTCTGTATATTCTCCATTCTTACAGGAATGCATTAATGCCCAACACACATGGAATGTCTAGTGAATATTTCAGATATGAAATAATCTGTTCAAACAAATTTGGCCATAATCTGATCTCCTATAATTTACAAAACTAGATTCCTCTCACCCACTTTTTCTTAAGAAAGCATTCACAACTATACTGCCAATGAGTATTTCTAGGAATATGTTGAAATCATATTAGTAATCAATGCGAGGGGTATAGTGAAGAAGCATTCTAAGCCAAACCACTGACTTACCCACAAATATGTTGTAACATAGTTGTATTGTATTACAACTACTGAGAATTCTCAAAAATGCAATTTCAGTAGGATCATGACTCTTACACAGTCTTAAAAAGTAACATTCTTTCCAGTAATAGTGAACTTAGGTGGTCAAATACCTATTCAGAAGTACAACTGACTCATTCACAAATAAGATAGCCATTTCTATCCTGCATACTTGGAGTACTCTCTAGATATGAAGAAATACATTTGTATATGTAAAAAGAAAAGTTTCAAAGATGGCCAAGCAAGAATCTGTGAGCTTCCAAGATCGAGCAGTTGAGCTTTGGAAAACAGAGGCTGCCCCTTGGAAAAGAAAAGAAAAAGGGTAAGAAAGAGCAGGCTGGCCTGATTGAGCATCTAATGACTTGAAGCAAGGATGGGGAACCTCAAGCCCACGGGCCAAATCCAGCCCTTCTGGGTTCCCCAAATGGCCACACCCCTTTCCTCCAAACACCTCCTGTTTGGTAGTTTCCCGTTCTTGTCCAAGTTTGTTTGATTTCTTTTGTTTTGATTACTATTCCAAAATGTATAGGTATACCTTATTCCAAAAGGTATAAGCCTCTTCCAAGGCTTAGGTATGGGCAGGAAGAACTTCCAGTTACAACATGCTGATTTTTCAGAAAGCCCTTTGCCTTCATCACCAGCCGGCACTGGAATGTGATTCCCAACAGCTTTATTTCACATTTATTGGCATTGAGCTGAAATGGGGGCCACCATTTCATGAAACATCTCACTAAAATGAAAACAAACAAATCCTCATTCCTACCATGGTGTTGGTACTGGTAAAGAAATGATTATCCTTACCTTATATAATGTTTTCAATAATGCCCAAATGCATTTACTCGATTATAGTACTTTGAAGTACCATACATTCAAAGTGGCTAGATCTCCTGGGCTGTGCCTATTTGAGCACTCTACAGACCTCCTCCAGCCTTTTTGAGAAGTTTAATTTTCTCTTTTGTAACTGCATACAGCCCAGTCATCACCATGATAGACCAGCTTTTCCTCTGCCGTTGTGCAAGGGACAGTATATACAATGTTCCCCAGACTTGTGCTAGGAAATTCCTTGTAGCTATTAACATATCGCTCACTGTTACCACTGAATGTCTTGGGATTTGATTTTTAACACCACCCAAAAGTAAAGCCATTAGTGCTAAGTTGTAGTTCCCATTCTGTCATTCTGTATTATAATTAATCACCTTCTTCCAATATTCCCTAGCTCGAACATGGTGCCAGCATTTAGGAACACTGTTGTTCCATCTCCAGCAGAGGTCCATTACTGCTTGAAGCATCTTGGATATTCTGCCCAGTGTGCAATGCTGCATATATATATGATATTATTAAGTCACAACTAATACATGTCTCCACATTTTTAAATACACATGATTCCATCACTTCTCCAAGATAGTGATGTTAAAATCTGTCTCCCAAGTTTGGTTAACTAGCCCAGTTCCATCACGATATGTATAAATGATGGATCCCTTTAAGTACCACTGGATTCAGTGCCACACGCTTATCACTCCTGGCGCTGTGAATTGCCTCTTTTAAAGTGGCTTCGGTAGATGCTTTAAAGGAGACAGTGCAGCAGCTGCAGACTGCTTTTCTTGGCAAAAAGGAAGAGGATCCTGCTTAGCATAATGTGGCAAATTGCATCTTTAATTTAAAATAATGTAAAATACTGTTTGCCACCCCCCAGAACATACACAGACATTCTCTTTCTTGGCAACACTTTGCCAGGGTATTTTGCAACTAGTTTGCCTCACAAAGCAATTTTCACTTATTTAAGTTTTAGGAGAATGCTGCTGTTTTGGGAAAAACTGTTTCCCCTGAAATGTTATCTCTTGCTGTGAAAAAAAAAATCAGCATACAGCCCTAAAATCACACACACACACACACACACACACACACACACAGAGAGAGAGAGAGAGAGAGAGAGAGATTTTTAGTTTGGGGGGTAGCATTCTGCTTTACTTCTTATTTAATGCCAGTTTTTGTGATCTTTATACATTAAATGGCTTCTAAATGTTCAGTACATTGACAATAAGAATCTGTCTTGCTTTCTTCCCTTCAAAAATCTCGGCATTGTTATTACCTGATCATGCTCTTTAAATAAAAAAGAAGACAAGCCAGCCTTGTTTTCATCAGTTTATATTTCTTAAGAGGTTTTGTGAGCTGCTTTCTTATCAATATTTCAGGAATTTTGTTTACTGCAAAAGCAGGCATATTGATTTATAATTTCCTGAAAGGCCAGTCCCTTTATTAAATTCATTTAAGCTACATTAGCTGGAATTTCTAGTCATTTCTGTTTCTTTGGAACATGCAACATTTTTCTCCCTTTTTCCACTCTTACTATATGATTTTACAAATACTGATTAGTTTGATGTTTCCCGAGATCACTCCCAGGCTACCCCCATGCAGGAGATCAACA